TTCCCTTCCCTTCCACCCATCCCTGCTTCTCTCTATGTAGTCTAATCTTCAGCCGTTGTCTATCTGCTCAAGTGTCTCTCCTGAGCCCTTTTATCTTCTGCGCAGGGTAGGAGAGGGCTGAGCTGGTTCTTGGGCATATTGTGGCAGATATCTCACAGTGGGTTTAACCCTTTCTCTGGCAGTCCTTTGGGAGATCTGGGCAGGCTGGACAGCCAGTGGGCCCCACCTGATGTTAGCTCATCCGTTGCCTTTGGAGGTGCTTGCTTGGTTAGTGTTTGTTTGCAGTAGGGCCTACAAAATGCCAGGACTTCCCTGGCATGCAGAACAGGGCAATCCTGGGCTCGAGGGCCCCTGGCAGGGAACACTGGGTGCCCGAAGGGGGGCAGTCCCTTGAGCACTTGCCCAAGGCGAGCCTGACTGCACAGCATCCAGTGCAGTTGTCGCTGTGTCATCAGCGGGGTTGGGGTCGGTTGGGTTTCTCGGTGTGGGGATGGGCTGCGATGGATGGAAATGCCGCCAGAACGAACGAGCTGTTGCCTGGATGGGCTATGCTCCATGTTCAGGGTGGTTTGCAGGCAGCAGAGAAGGGCTAACAAATGATTTGTGGCTAAGCCAGCATAGTCCGGCTGGGGACAGAACCTGTTCCTCTGACTCGAGCCGCAGAGAGCCTGGGTGGTGCGTGCATGTGATATGCTCGGGAGATGCAACAGTTGCTGAGCACAGTATCGGTCACTTCTAAATGGACCCACCACCCCCTGGCCGCAAGGGCAAGCTCTCAGGGAGGGGCCGCCTGTCTGTCTGTGCGGCGCCGCTGTGGGACGACTGCAAGACAGAGCAATACTAGTGGTAGTGGCTGGGTCCCTGTGCAGCTCCAGCAGGGGATCAGGGTCATGGAGAAGGATCGTCTTTGCTAGCTCAAATGCGCAGACAAGGCAGGTCCTTCCTCGTGGCTGTGCAGAGGAGGCGGGAGGGGGCCAGCCAGGCCAGGCTCAGAAATGCCACGCTGATGTAACCGGGCCGGTGCAGGCCTTCAAACAGGCGCTGGCACTTTTGTGGACAAAGGACTTTCCATTTATCCAGGTCTCTCTGCACTGCCAGTTCTCCCCTGCTGTCCTCCGACATCACTCCAGTGCAAGCTGTCCCAAATCCACAGCCAGTAACTTCACTGGTTTCCAGGCAGCATTTGGGAAGGGAAGGGCTGCCGTGCAGCCTGCACACCTGTGGCGAATCGGCATGGCTGAGCCAGGCAGGGGCTAGGTTAGCGTGACTGGCAGCCAGGCTGCTGGAAGTCCCCTGCTTTGCTCTGAGCGTGTCCTCTGCTCTGTTCCTCAGCTGGACCCCACAGGGCTTTCCCTCCCAGCAGGGCCCATGCTGCCCAGTGAGGACGGCGTCCAGGGCGGCCCACGTACCTGCGAGCTAAGGCAGCAGGGCAGCCCACCCCTAACCACGGTGTGACCTTGGCTGTGTCACTGCTGGCTTGGTTTTCCCAGCTGCCCCAGCCTGCCGTGGGCAGCCAGAGCTTCTGTGAAAAGCCCCTTTCTCCTCTGTGTCTCTGATTTTAGTGTTTCGAAACACAGGACTATTCCACTGCTGTGAGATCCCCGGCAGAGAGGGGCAAGGAGCATCTGGTAGGGGCTCTCGGGTGTTTCTGGCAAATATTGGCACAGCCTGATGAGCTGTGGGACCCCTGGGCTCCAGCATGAACTCCCCGGGCTGGCTCTGAGTGGCACAGAGAGCACTAGGCAGGAGATCCACCTCCGCATGTGTAAGTGATGATGGAATTGATCTGTGTCTCCTGTGATTTCTGTGCCGTTCTAGCATGGACTTAATAAGCAGCCTGATTAGCACCGCTCATAATTAAATCCTATTGATCTGCCTTCGGCTAAACGCGGTTGGCGCACGGAGTGGCTGGGAGGCGGCAGGGCCACTGCTCTCTGAGAGACGTGGTTGGGGCCGTTGTTCTGCCTTTGGGGGTGGATCTCAGTGGGTTGCATCTTGTGGAGGTCCATGCATGGGGCTAGGGACCAGCTCTGTGTTAGTGCTTTGTGGCTCATATGGGAGCACATAAGTCAGTTTGATGTGAACGGGTCTGAGTGCCTGTGGGAAGGGGAGGGGCTGTGGGCCAGCTTCAGTGTGGAAACAACGGGTGAATTTGCCCTGATGCCCCTGGGGGGGCTTTGCAATGCCAGGTGGCCTGGCCCATGCAGCTCAGCTCTCTTCTTCTCCG